CATACAAAATTACATTTCTTAGCAAATCATAAATGAAGTTATTGATGATGTTGATACATGGCTGCCATACCTTCTATTATGTGTACATGTATTTTATTTACTTACTGTGGTTATTAGCTGAGTTACCATTGTATCATCATCATATTTTGTTAACATCTCATCACTTTCTGGCAATGATGAGAACATTGACAATGAAAATGACATGAAAACACTTGTTAAGCAAAATGCATTTTTATTACTTAGCAAATCAAGTGACTAATAACTTAAAAACTAATTTACATGCCATTCTTTGACTCTGTTAACATAAAAAATATAATTTTAATAACAAAATTTCCTACAGATGTGACAATGTGACTGTGTGTAATTCTGTCTTTCTAGTAACTTGATTAAATCCTAAAGTGGCATCAGTATGATGGCTTAGTTAAATTGGCAGTTTTGTATAAAAGCACAAAAAACTTAAATAGCTATTATGCATTCAATGCAGGTTCACTGTCACTCAGGCTATGGTACTATACAACACCTTATCTGTGTGCATCCATTTCAAATTAATATAATGTTACTTACTGACTGTGCTTCAAAGTAACGCAGCCTTTCTGGTCGCGATGTGGACATTGACATTGACATTGATGAGGACATTTGAATCTGTTGCCTTTCTAGTCGTGATGACATCCATTGCCTTTCTAGCCGTGGTGAAAACATTAACTATAAAATGACATAAAGAATATAAATTATTGACTCTACATGTACAATGTATACCGTAGGGCACCTTTTTTGAGGGCTATAAATTCCGTGGATTATTATTTTGCAGATTTAATTTTCACAAATTTATGCTGTCTCCCATCTGGTACCGTATTAATTTGACTTTCGCGGAAGTACTTTTCGCGAATCTTTCAAAAATTGCAAAATCTGTGAAATTTATAGCCCTAAAAAAGGTGCCCTACAGTATAATGAGTATCAAATGATTATAATTTTACTCTAATCTGAAAGGGTTGACTGTATTCCATAGTCTACATAAAATAAAGTATAGTGCTAACAATGAACGAAACAATGAAGTTCCTTACTGGTGCTATAAAGAATATAAATTATGATTTAGGCAAAATGGCAGTGTTGTCATAAAGTATGACTATTCTTAATATGCAGGCTTACATGTAATTTGTATTACTATTATAAACTACACATGTTAGTGGTGTAAATCATATTTGTAATTATGACCTTAATAAAATTCAGTTAACAGTCTTAATATAGTTTGACAGTATTAATTTTTTTTGCTGAACTTTTTTCAAATACACTTTATACAAGTATATTTTTGTTAAATGAGCCACAAAACTTGGTAACAAATTTAACTCTCTTTTAAATGAATGGCTTGCACTGCTACACCATGCATAGGAGTCATAAACAAGAGGGTGACTTGAGCTCAGGCCTTTTCACACTTGTCCACTTTAGATCCAGAATTGCAACCTACTAAAATAGAATCCTCTTTGGTTGTGTTTAAACTAAGCTATACTTCAAAAGAATTAAAAGTGAATTAAACTGCATTGGCTTCTACGGGTTATGAATATTATTTTAATTAAGATTAATCAATCCACTTCAAACTGCCTCTGGATGTGGATTGACTGAATCTAGCTTCAATCCTGATTCAAGACAAGTGTGAACAAGCTAATCCTGGATTTCATTTTAATTCTGGATCCAAAGTGGACAAGTGTGAAAAGCCTTTAATATAGGGCCTGTTGTTTCAATTGCGACTATATATGATAAAAATTCTGATCTTGCTTATTTAGACCTTGTGATGCTTTGATGTACAAAATTTGACACTCTTACTGCTTTGATCTTGAAGTTAATTTTAAAAGGTTTGGTCCTTGATCTTGACGTTTACTACTGTAAGTCTTAGATGTATGTGTTCATTTCAACTGCAATTGACCTTTTTGATTTTCATTTGATCACAGTCACAGAGTTGCAGGTAAAACAACAGGCTTTATTGGTATAAAAAATGACACCAAAATAATTAAAAACTAGAAATTTGTTTTAAATAGACTATACAAAAAATAATTTATTAGTAAATTACATAGTTATTTTGGTTGTTACTTAACATTTTCTTACTTTTCGCATCTTAGTGATTAATAACTCAGTAATTTCAGATCTAGATAGCTCAGGATTGATACAATACTACATAAAAGTAATAAGCAAAACATTCTCATAGCATTTAGTAAACAATACAATAATGCTGTTAAGAGGTGAATCAACTTCAAAATTTGATTGTTGACCTCTAAAATACTTACTTTCTCACAAGCAGCAGTCACATCAGCTTGGCCTTTAGTAATCAATGATTTGATAATTTCAGTTGATCTACCTTCTTCAATTGCTAGTAACAGAGGAGTGTTACCATACTAGATAAATAAATAATAATAAAACTTAATACAATGTGAGGTTATAGTTAACTAGCTACTAAAAACAACAAAAGTTTTAAAAAATCTCTTTTGCAAAATTACTGTTAAGCTGAACTTTATTTTATAAGAATCACATTTTAGATAACAAGAAATGTAACATTAAAACTACATGTATA